CCCCCTTTTTTTCATTCCAGTCTAATAACGCTACAGCTTAACCGGAGAGCATGAGTAAAATGTTGCTGCCGTCCGAAACCAGATCCCAAGCAGGCTGACCTGAACGCCTTGCAAACGTCCTGCTGCACTGGAGCTTGGATTTTGCTGTTTTGCTCTTCCACCTGCTCAAGTTCCCTGCCTGGAACATAGAAGCCTTGCTCTCCACGTCTTTTTAAGTAGAGCTCCACAGTGCCGGGAGGTGCCTTAAACACACAGATCCTCCATTTGACCGCAATCCAAAACTGCCACCAAAACAGAAAGAAAATATCGTTTCTGCTGCTGCCCTGTTGTTGCACTGCTGTAACAGCCCTCCTAGTGTTGATCGTTCCGGGTTCAAGACAGATGTGAAAACTCTGACCTGCTCCCCATATTCTGCTCCGGCTGCCTGACGTCCTTCAGCACGCTCTCCAGTTTGGTGATTTAAATGTAAGATGTGCCCAATTTCTGCCCTTCAGACTTCTCCAGGCTATAAAACAGTGTCTAAAACTAATAATCATCAGTGAATCCCATATAGGAATCATGCTCGGTCCTGGCAAATAGCTGGTTACAGAATTTGGCCAACTCCAGGTGTCAACTCTGGGCAGCCGCACGTTAGCTGTGCTGTGACAGCTCAGGAGCAGTATTTTGTGTTTAGCTGTGTGTTTTGTATATTAAGAGGAGTTAACCGTGTTTATGTAGGCAACAGTCCCAATGTACTCGGATGACAAGACCTGGAATTCTGCAATGCCAGGGTGTAACCGAGTGACACTGGGCGACGGATCTCTGCTACAGTAACAGCAATTGGACTTATTCTCTACTGAAGCTGTGGAATGTGGTGGATGATTGTGTAAAAAACTGGCAGAGTCCACTGGGAAGGACATTTTTCTCTTCCCCTTACAGACAGTTAAACCAGAAAATTCAAGAAGACCCGCTCCAATTTCTCCTAGCTTTCTCTCCTCTTTGAGGGCAGAGGTGTTGTTTAGCGCTTTCCACTGTCTCTGGCTGCGCTAGGGCAGATGCTGCCTGCATGTGATAGCAGTTTGTATGGGAAAGGCAAGAGCGAACAGAGGGGTGGGAAAACGCGGCTGCGCTTTTTTTCCCCACCCCCAAGAAGAGTTCTTGCTCCGTTTGCAGCATCCCAGCGCAGAAGGGAACGGGGAACTTGTCCCTAACCTGGTATACAAGGATAGGAAGCTGAAAATGAGTAATTTTTTCTTTCCACTGTAACCCTAAGCATGTCAGGCATCCAGGCTCCTTTATAAGGCTTCTTGCGAAGGAGAGGGGCAGACTCTCACTGCGGCCAGAATAAATGGATTGTTTCCCTAATTAAAAGACAGATGGATAGCTATACGGAGTATAAGACGCTGTACATACTGAGCCAAGTCACTGCAGCAGCACACTGCGATCGGCCAGCCCTGCCGCCTATAGCAGCTACTAGTGACTTCCCACGCCGTGCCCTCTGGCAGGGTGGGTCTGGCTGTTCGCTGGGCAGGTTTGGGTTGGCTAGGGGCAGATGATGCACCAGGCATGTACTGGGGTGCGGAAGGGCTCTCTAGCTTCATACTTGAGTTAGGAGAGTAAGCCTCCTTTTCATGTGAGACAAACATAGCTCTTCACATTAGAAATAATTCTGTTAGCAGTAGTATGCTTTCTGCCACTGCTTCTGGATAGTAGAGCTGCAAGTGGCGAGGCTGCGAGTTCGCCGCTCAGTTAATGACCCCTAAGCCTCACCTGCTGGATGATGCTCCAAGCTCTCCGTCCTCAGTGGTGAGTTGGTGGCCTGTCTGCTGAGACCACCCCATAGCAGAGAGGAATCGTTGCCCACAAGGATAAAAAGCAGGGCCACGTCATTTGATATGTCAAACATCGTTACGTTCTTGCAGTAATGGTATTAGTCTCTTCTACACCAAAGCTCGAGCACCTGGTTCGAATGCACTGTCACCAAGTCTGAGATTAGATATGCTGTACATGTAGGCACCATGGCCAAAAATCAAATCCGGTCTGAGAATGTGGCCAAACCTCACAGCCAAATTTTAAGCTCGTCAGGAAAAATGGACCTGAATTAATTCTTTGTCAAAGGCTGTTGCAGAGGGAATTCAGCAGCTGGGTGTGACTTTCCTGTTTTGTTTTTGTGCTTGTTGGAGTCATAAGCCAGAGTAAAATGTAGAAAGGATGATGCCTTTATAATCAAAATTGAAATATTTGCATGCACTGCCATACTGTGTTTCTACCAGCCCCTTTACAAGTTGTGATTTGGCATCTGCATGGACTGTGGAACGCACCGCTGCTGTATCTGGCGACTAGATGTCGGTGGGCTTCCAAAAGTAGATTTGATACTCAGAAGGAAAATAAGATCAATCAAAATTTGAATATAATATTTAAAAATTTATAGACTGCTGCTGGTCCACTACCTGCTTTACTGGGGTAAAACTTGCAAAAATTAAGGTTTAAGCCAATCCTTAAATGCTGAAGAATGGGAAGTTACAACACTGGGAACATGTTATCCTTTAAGTGCTTACAGCACTCTTTCTTACATCCTCTCAGTACGAGGAAGTGAGGAATACTTCTTCTCTTGCTAATAGTTGGTTTTGGCCCTTAATAGAATCAGGGAAATGGATTAATTTTTGATTACAGGCCTGAGTATGGGAGCTCCTATGCATATTAGGGTATAATTTATGGTAGAGGCAGTGTAAATTGCTGGTAGAGAAGCGTTATCCCTGATTGCAAACTTGTCAGGGAAACAACAGCTGAAGTGTGACTTTTTACAAAGTCCAAACCTAAGCAAGCGTCGCAAGATTTCAAGCTGAGTTCTGGCCATTTAGTGCATCCCCTCACGCGCCATCAGGAACCTTTTACCACCTGCTCCAGTCTGCGTTGACCTCTAGTGATACAGCAGAACTGTTTTTGTGAATGCATTTCTCCACAACGCGGGAATCCTGCCCTGGATGCGGTGGCAGCCTGGGGTAGCAGGTGCCTTTGGGGATGTGGCTAGAGAAGTAGGGAGCTTCACTGCCGGAAAAACAGCATCGCAGTGGATCAATATTTGAGGCCTGAAGTGAAACATTCAGATATGATATGCCACGGTGCCTGAGTGCTGACCTCACAACGCAGAGGCTGAGCTGGGTGGCGGTGGCGTCCCGGTGCCCTGCCCGGCGGAGCAGGGATGTCGGCGAGAGGCGGTCCCCTGGTGCAGCCTCTGCCTGCTCCGTGTGCTGCTCTGCTGCTCCAAAACGCTGCATACGTGTTTCTAACCTCTTTTTGCAGTCAGCTGATGGAGATGTTGTGAAGCAGCCGGCAAATGGTGTGCGAGACAGGAGGAGGAGGAGGAGTGCAGGCTTGCCCCCGCCGCTGCCCTGCCACCGCTGCTGAGCTGAGACAGGGGCAGAAATCACTGAGCAACAGCAGATTTTCCCAAAGGCAGAGCTGGCCTGTCCACTTCGTTGCTGCTTTGCCCACAGTGGTTTAACCTCCTGTAAAGTCAATTGATCAGCAAGGATTTGAATGTTGATCTGGGCTTGCACCTTTAGTACCTCTAGCAGTGTCATTTCCAGCAGGAAGATTGGAAAATTGTATTGAGATAAATGACAAAACCAAAAAGTTTCTGCATTTGTGCAGGCAGGGAGACAAATCCTGCGTCTGTTCAGCGAGGCAGCAAAAACACAAGACGTCTCCGAGCAGCTTTTTGCCAATGCTTGAGCTTTCACACAGCCCAAGGACAGGGGACAGGGAGGCTGCTGCAAAAAATGTCACCCCTGGCTCTGAAACCTCTGTCCTGGTGTAGTTTGCGGGTTTCTGCTGAGCGGGGTGGACGGCAGAACAGAAAACCCTGGCAGGTCGAAACGGGAGGCTGGTTGAGGCCGGTGGCACGTGGGAGCCTCCGGCCACACGGGAGCAGATCCGCCGGGCCGCCTGGGAGTGCGGGGCTACGCTGATGCTCGCTCCGGAAAGGGATTTTTGAGCCTGCCATTCTGTCCCTTCCTTTATTTCCATGCGACTTGAGAATGGCTTTCTCTCCTTAGAGGGTTAGGAGATCTTTCCCAATTTATTTCAGAGCTGAGAGCTTCTCTGTGCAGGACATCTTGGTCTGAAATCGTCAAATTGGGTATGTATGAAATCTAGGAGAGAGACTGCCTTATAAGCATGGTTATTCATTTGGATCTCATTGTTTCCCGCTGGCAGAGCTTGGAACGTTATTCCTCGTTCCTTGGGCCTGCGGTAGAGAATGAACCCTTTCAGCTCTACCGGGAGAAGCGTGTTTTAATTCTCATGCAGTTCACTGGGGAATGAGGGCAAAGGAATTCCATGAGTTATGCTCTCAGTGAGAAGGCACAGTCAATTATTTAATATACAAAGGCTTCTTCTTAAGTATCAAACTTGTTGGTTCACAGATGCATGTAAATTAAAGCCTGGATTTCCGCTTGCAGAGTGAAAAATGTTTTGTTCTAATAATAAACACTGAAACTCTGCTGTTTCCATTTACATAACAGCCATGACACAATGTGTAAATCCTCGACAATATTTTTTCAGAATTTAGCAGCTTGTTTTGCTGGAAACATAAACATTTATTTTTGGTGTTAATAATTAATAATGTGCCACATGCCCATAATAAATGCAAAATCTAATCTTGTATAGACATAAATGTGTCTGCCAAAGTGGTCTTTCTGTGCTGTAAATGAAACAAAGTGGTAGCATACGTTCTATTTTCAATCGCTGGTGATTTGTTTTGCGAACAGATATGCCATTAAAGTCAATGTTTTCCTTTGAAAATAACAAATAGTTTCTTCACACATTTTTTCAAAACTAAAATAGTCAAGGCTTACTAAAAAAAAAGGTGTAGCTAATATCAAAGTCTTTGCAGCTGTATTTAAAGCAAAACGTAAAGATAGACGAGAACATGGAAAATCCCAGCAACTGAACAAAGGGAAAATGAGATATAGCAGAATTCCTCCTCCTCCCTGCCGTGGAAAGAAGAAAACAAGCTCCTTCAGGTCAGAGTTACTCCTCCGTTTGGCACCGTTTGGCAGAGGATGCTAGTCGGGACAGAACAAGGATCTGGGAGAGGTTTTGGGTAGCAGATGTAGATACACCCTTCCCTCCCCTGTTGACTACTGCCTTCAGAGCCCAGTATTTTTAGGTTTCATCATTTCCCAGAAGCCAGCAATAGTTGAGAAACCTACTGACAAAATATTTGTGTTGTTTGGCTCTTAATGGCTGGCCCGCATCGAGGGTGACAGTATTACTGCTATTAGTTACTGTGTTAGCACAGGCAGCAGCAGTCTGCTCAGAAAGTTGTAGCTGTGCTAATGAACCCCCGGCTTATGCAATGGGAGGAGTTAGCAAACCAGTTCATATTTCAATATTCATTTCTGGTACAAAAGAGAATGTAGTTTTCATATGTTTTCAATTAAACCGTATGTAAGCATGGTTCACTAAACTTCACTGGAAATAGCCCTCTTCATATAGTAGGCTGAGCTTATGTTTATGGGAAAGTTAGTGAAATACTAACATCAGAGGAGTTCCAACACATAAGACATGGAAAAAGGAAGAGATTATTAGTTTGTTTTTAAAGACTTCATAGTTTTTACGTCTCTATAGATCAAAAGTTGTTAATCAAATGAAAATATGGTGTGCTAACAACTATATTAGAGTAAGGGTTTTAGAGTAAGGGTGTTGGACCGACTCAGCCATTTTTGCAGTGCCAAACGCCCTCAACAGCATTGTCCAAGTGGCTTTGGAGGAAAAAATTTAAAATTCCCAGTCTCCTGAATTTCTCTCTGCTCAGTTCGCCTTCTGTTTAGGCCCTGATTTGGGTACCTTCTTCACGGCGGTTCGTGTCACGGAGCCTCGTCCTGGCTGAGCCTGCTTGCCCAAATGCATGGCAGCAAAGCCCAGCTGCAAATACAGCTCATCAAAAATGTGCACACCAAAGCTGTTGTGTTTTCTGTGTTGCAAACAGGCTTTTAAAAATGGAGCGTTCCTCAGAAACGGTCAGCACCCATGCAACCTTCAGGCATTTTTCAAACAAGCATAATGTCAAACATAATATATTATAACAAAGAATAGATTATTTGTCCAAATACATTGAACCTATCTTTGAAATGAAGGTTCCATCTTTTAATCTACTTTTTAAAAATATTTTGTGAGTTTATTTTTAGTGGCTAGACTTGCAGGTCTTTGGGTCGGGCCCGCTTCTTATTTTCATGTACGAAACCTAACAGTGCTCTGAGCTGCGCATCTAAAGTTCTACTTGGTACATATAACACATACAATAATTAACAGTAATTAATTATTTACTGTCAGGTATCTCCTAGCTATTAATATTATCCTAAACATATTTTGTTTTTTTAAAGTGTCCTTGTCTTTCATGGTTTGTAACTTGAACTACTGCAGTAATAGCTAGCTGAACAATCAGCCGCTCCTGAATTTAGCTGCCAAATCAAGCTTAAAGTTTGGGTTCAATAAGGTTTGCATCTACCATTCTTAAGAAGCAGTTATGTTTTATTGCGTTATATCGTAAGCAGAGAAAAGGCAGGCATGAAGAACCACTGGTTATTTACCCAGTCACACACGCGTTCATACATAAATACAGATGTGACTTATTAGTAACAATTTTAATCAGACCAATATTTTAATATCGAATAAGAATACTCAGTGATTTTCAACAACGATTAGATGATTTTCATTGTGCTATTGTTGATGAATTTCTTTCATGGAGGAAAAGCATAGTTTAACATTCACGAATGAGTTACAACAACACACTGGCATGGGATAAACACAGAAGAAGAATCAGCAGAAGACTGATTGGAAACTATTCCTCCAAATAAAAAGGAGAAATAAGTATATACAAGCACTTGCTACTTGAAAAACTGGATTATGAAGAGGCACTTTTGGCATTTTGGCATTCATCTCATAGGAGTGTAGAACTCCTGCAGAGGGAAATAAAGAATAGTCATTTTAGCTTTCGTAGGACTGAACCACGTTTTGTCAGGTAACCATTATTTTTGATTTGTGGTATACCATTACGAACCAGTAAAGGGCAGCACTAACCAACTGTTTTGGGTAACTAAAAAGATCACTAATTATGTTTTCAAACTTTAAATGATGTAAACATTAATTGTTTGACTGAATTTGCTATTAAATCAGTTGTGCTGCTGCATCACTGCAAAGCAGCAACTTGAAGAGCACTCTGTAATCCTTAGAGCAGAATTCGACAGCTACAAATTAACAGCTTAGTGGTGATGAATTTTAGTAAAGGGCGTTTTAGTTATTAAAAAGCTGAATCTCTTACTAAGAGTACGGTCGCTTTGGCTGTTTAATTACGTTATAGCACAGGTTCTATACCTCAGAACAGATTTTAGCAGAGTCATAATTCATAACATACAAAAATT